TAATTTTACTTTAAAGGATAGTCCATGTCAGTGAAGAACTCATCTATATGCAGAAAACTAATTAAAGGTTAGTAATAATGATATCTTGTCAATAGAGTAAACATAGTAGTTTTGTTGATTGAGCAGTCTCCTTTTCATGTTAAATAGTACAAAAATATTTGTAATTGCTTTAAATCAATTGCCTTCCTTGTAATTCAAAATTTGTTTAAATTTTAGATGAACTCTGCAATAAGGTTGTTAGATACTGTAGCTCAACAGAAAGTCTGTTTTTCAATCACAGAAATGTGCTAAAGTAGGAGGCAAAATCCTTCAGTATGTACCTGATTAAGTTCTGGTCAGTTTCAGGCAGCAGAAAGAAGGTCCTAATCAACTGATTAAGGTTACAGAGCAGAGCTTGTTAACTTGCAGTTAGCACTTATTAGAAAAGTGCTGGGGTGGGGTGTGGGGTGGAAACTGCTTAAAAAAGAGATACTAAAAATGCCTGCCATTGTTTGATTGTAAGGCTATGACTACCAAATGGAGAACTTATGGAGGGGAAAAAAAGGCATGTCTTCCTTTTGCCAACAACCTTGTAACCCTATTTTGGAAGCAAACCTGATTTCAATGGCCCTTTGTTTCAAGCAAACATTCATAGGAGTGGACTGGTCATAAAAGAAACATAATCTCAAAATATGGACATACCAATGCAAAAACAGGACTCCTCTGAAGTACAAAGGGTTACTTTAAGGTCAACATAATGAATTTCAGTGTCCTCCTTGCTTTAAATTAAAAAAAAAAATGATATGAAAGAAACTTGTTTGTGAAGAACCTTTTCTGAAAGAGCAGGTGGGATGTGGGCGTTTATCCTTTTCCCGCCCCTTTTTCTGCACCAATCTCCCCTCCTCCATCTGTCTTTTCAAATGCAGACAAACTGCATGTTTACCAGGTAAAGCTAGATTGAGGGGTGGGGGTTGCACAGATCGATTGCAATCTAGTGCTTGACACTACTTTTAGCTGGAACATCTAGGCCCATCTTCCTTGGTGGTGCTGCCTTAAAAGAGGGTTTGCAGCTTTCTTGCTAGGTAAAACAATTACTAACTGCTGGGTCAATAAGATGGGAAGCCTGGCAGATCAGATGCTGTTTCAGAGACCGGTGTACATTGGGGGTGTCAAGCCAATTGGATAGCACATTTTAATGCACATATGTGTGACTGTACAATGTAAATCATAGGGAATGTCTGATTTTGCCTCTATCAAGGTGGAGGTGGTCTTGAAAGGGTAGAAATAATAAGCATGCCTGTTCTGCCTTTTGTTCTTTTTTCTATTTCTTGATTTATTGTAATTATTCTAATAGGATAAAAGAAACAATTGACTATTCACCAAATGAAGACAAATTAGTTCACAGGTTTCTAACTGTTCATAGGAATAATATTTTTTCTCATACTAAAGCCATAGAACAAACATAACCTGTTCTGACTGGCTGTAATTCTTAGGCAGTGATCTTTCTGAACACCGTCACCTGGTATCTTAACTTGATGGGTAACTCTGGAATTAGATGGTGACCTCCTTGTTGAATCATTTTGTTTATATGATTTTGTAGTTTCCAATAATTTATTTTTTTAAAGATTTCTGTATCTAAAGAAATAGGTTAAATAACTTGCATTACAACTAGCTGGTTAAGACTTTTAATAAAGTGTCCTTCTTGCACATGTTTACTTTAATGTCCATGGACAAATTGTGCAAGCTTATATTATGGGGAGGGAATGACCTAATCGGTCATGGATTCTTTAGCTATATATAAAGCCAAGCAGAATGGAAAGCCATGCTTGTGTCTACAGATCATAACATTGAAATGCAATACAAGAAAGTAGATGCAATTAAGACTAGCTCACTAGGTTTAGATCCAGAGTCCAAAAGTATCTCCTTCAAACTCAAAATTCACTTGTGTCTCTGAGAGACAGTCCTTGTAGAAAAATGAGAAGCCAGGCTTAACCACAGCTTTGTTCTGTGGCATAATCCATGCCAGTGCCACCTTTTCTCAAATGGAGGAAGGGAACGAACAGGAAAGTACATTTGAAAATCAGAACTGGGAGAAGAAAACTGGAGGGAGTTGAGTGTCAAGTGTGTGCGGATCTCCAGAAAACTTCTTGCCCATGTGATCATCACTGTTAAAAAAAAAAAAAGGAAACAGTTGGTAGTGAGAGAATCTGGTGAGGAGGCTGTGTGTCACTTTCTTGTATTGCATTTTAAAGTTATGATCTGTAGACACGAGCATGTCTGTGGATTCTGATCAGCCTTATAGGAAGCTAGACAACATGTTAGGTCATTCTTTCCCCATATAATATAGACTTGCACCATTTTTGCTTCCCTCATGAACTTCAGGAGAGCCCCAGTGAAGCTTCTTCCTCCTCCTGTTTGGCTGATCCATGGAATTGCCTGCTACTTTGCTGAAGTGAGGGGGAACAAAGGGAGCAACGGACCACAAGCTCTGTATCAAGGACATTCTGGTGTGTCCCCAAGGGCTTACGTTCTTCAGGGAAGAATAAGGTTCACCTCTCTCCAGCACCACCCTGCCAGCCTTAGCTCATCACATTCTCCATCATACTTTCTCTTTCCATATATAATATAAGCATGCAGTGCTTTTTCCTCTCTCCTTAAACCCTCATGAGAGTCCCACTGAAGCCCCCTCCTCTAATTTCTCCTACTTCTACTTGGCTGATCTGTGGAACTGATCATTTTGTTGTGAGGAGGGTGAACAAAGGAATCCATAAACACTGAAGGAAACTCTGAAGGAACACTGAAGGAATTCTCCCAATTCCAGCATGTTCTCAAGGCCCCCTTTTTCCATGAAGGAAGAAAGAGGGCACATACATTGACACGGAACAGCTTGCCCTCGGAAGTTGTGGGAGCGCCATCACTTGAGACTTTCAAGAAGAGATTGGACTGCCATTTGTCAGAAATGGTGTAGGGTCTCCCGCTTGGGCGGGGGGGGTGGACTAGATGACCTACAAGGTCCCTTCCAACTCTGATTATCTGTTAAATCTGACTGTCAGTACCTCCCAGCCAGCTCTACTTTGCCAGTAGGCATTTGAATCGTTCCCTCATTCTTCCCTCATGGGCCAACGCTATTAAGACATTTTGAATTTCGGCTTTGGTTCCAAAGCAGCCAATGGCTGCTCACCTATTGAGCCTTGTCACCATCCGATTGGGCACAGAGGTCAGAGAGAATCATACAACCTTCAGATTTATGGAAAGTGTAGTTGGATGGCATGGTGGTTCTGAACTGGCCACAACTATGCCAAATTTCAATCCCACAGGACTCATGGATCCCATAGTTTGGGTGCATTCTGTAAGTTAGCTCATTTGTACGTTGATTTTTAAACAATATTGTTCTATGAAGCACCATTTTACCCTATTGAAGTTTGCAAAGTACCAACAGACATAAGAATTTAATAGTATGGATTAGATCTGCTTTCAAACAAGTGCGTATTTCTTAATAGTGAAGATAACATTCAAATGTAGTTTGAGTGTGATTGTATAGATAAATCTATTTGATATCTGTCTGTAACTGAGTCTTTTTGTGTGCCCTCTTTAGCTACTAAAAGTGAAGTGGAGCCTAAGTGTGGAATGAGCATGCTCCAGTTGTAATAGAAAGAAGGCCTGAAAGGGCTGAGAAACTAATAGGATTAGAAAATAGAAGGATGCAAGCCTAAGGATGGGTTTAGGATTGGTATGGTTTTAAACATGGAGGTGATGTAAGCCATTTGGCACCTTCCCAACTATCCCTGTTAACTGTAATGTTCTCAGTTATTCTTTTGCCATTTTGCAGATCTTATTATCATACAGATTTTTAAGACTACGAAGTGCTTGTTCAGGAAAAAGATATTTGTCAGTTTATAAATAATTGTGATTATTTAACTAGAATAGAATAGAATACTTGATTGGCCAAGTGTGATTGGACACACAAGGAATTTATCTTGGTGTAAATACTCTCAGTATACATTAAAAAAAGGTACATTCGTTAAGAATCAAGAATCATAATGTCATAGGGTACAATCAACAATCAAATCATAATAGGAAACAGTCAATATAAATCGTAAGGATACAAGCAACAAAGTTACAGTCCTACAATCACAAGTGGGAGGGGATGGGTGATAAGGAGTGATGAGAACTATGTTGCATATTAGCACTCATATCGCCACGTTTTATCTTGGGGATTCCAAGAATCAACAGATTTGTGGCTCCTAAGCAGCCTCTTTAATTAACCTGATTCAATGTCATTGGTATATTCCTCCTGGGGGAGGATAATTCATTTATTACTGCTTAGCCAAAACATGCCACAGTTTTCTTTTTGTATCTAGAGGGTTTATTGAGTGAAGATGTGCTTTGCTTTCTATACTGAGTGCACAGCCAACTGAAAAAAATACCACACCTGTTAGCCTCAGAAAGATTGCTGGGCTTAACAATCTTTCACAATTTTAGGAAACTAAGGGCAGAGAGTCGTAGTACTAGGCCCAAATAATGTGATTTTTGTACATTGCTGCTGGTGTAGTTCTGCCTTTGCAAAGTATCTTTCCAGGTAAGATAAGCAAGCCCAATGGGCTACAATAGACCCAATTCATTCTTGGAGTTGCTGCTCTTATAACTATCTGTTGAAGTGAAGCCTCCATTGAAGCTATTTTATGGTTGATGTCACAGCACCTTGGAAAAGGGTTATATTCCTGAGATGGTCAGATGGAAGCCATCAGAAATAAGAACCGGCTCATAGAAATACACATGCTGGATGCATTAGAGGAAACAATAGAGGCCTTCAGATAACAGCTCCAAAAAAATACAAATGACTTGCAACAAAATACCTATAAGACCTACAAAGAGGTACAGATATGCTCTATTTAGTTTAATGAGTAAAAGACAATATTCCATATGTGCGTAGGCATATCAGGCGCATCAGAATCTGCAGTTTCAATGACAATCTTGCAATTGCTGCTGATGGGTTACTCTGTTTTATTATTGTCTTCTAGGTTCAAGAATGGCTATGTTTAAATTGCCAGATGCAAAGAGCTTTGGGAATGGACATGACCACAGCACCCCGCTCCAAAAGCCAGCAGCAATTACATTCTCCGTCCCTTTCTCCTTCCCATTCCCCTGCCAAACAGCCCCAGGCACAACCACAACCCCAAGCGGCAACAGGACCAGAGAAACCACCTGGAACTATGCAGCCAAGGCCCAAGCCAAGTGCTGCAACCATGCAACCCCCATCCCCCAAACATCCCCCAGCCTCACCCCAGAGAGAACCACCCAGCCAAGTCCAGCCAAAACCTGCTGCTCCTCAGGAAGTGATGAAGTCTTCCCCTCAGCATCAACAAGCAAAGCCTTCATCCATTGATCAGAGAAAGATTGTAGGAGACTCCCCGGCTAAGACTCCGGTCCCTCCCCCAAGTGCTGGGGGAGCTCAAGAACAGACCCAAGAGGGCCTCACGGGGAAGCTTTTTGGATTTGGAGCTTCCCTCCTGACCCAGGCAAGCACACTCATGTCTGTCCAGCCAGAGGCCACTCCACCAAGTCAACAGTCTCCTGGCAAAGTGCCTCCAAAAATTGTCTTCAGTGATGCCAGCAAAGAAGCTGGCCCTAAGGCCCCAAGCACTGGACCTGGAATGCAGAGTAAGCCTGGAATTGTCCCAGCTGCAAAGCAGTCGAAAGCAGAACAAGTAACCAAGCCAAAGGAAGTGCCGAAAGAAAGGGTTTTATGCCCCCTCTGCAAAGCGGAGATAAACGTGGGCTCTGGAGAGCCCGCCAATTATAATACCTGCACATCCTGTAAGCAGCAGGTCTGCAACATGTGTGGATTCAACCCAACACCTCATCTGGTAGAGGTAAGAAAATTCGGGCATATTTGAATGCCTTTTTTGAGGACTCCTCATGCTTGTTCTTAAACATTATACAGTATATTTCCAATGGTCTGGGAGAAATATATATATATAATAAATGATCAGGATTGTATGAACTGATTTTAAGGGGAAAGTTGCCATTATGCCAGCAGGAAAATAAAGGATAATGAAAGTCGTTTGCTCAGATTTCCATTTTGCTGCTGTTGAAATGGAGCTTAGTAAGACTAACCTGTGGAGGCTTTTTTTAGTGGTGAGGGAACTGGCCAGAATACAGTGGCAGCGGGCAATTAAAAATCAGCACATTGACATCTTCAGATTGAAAGAGATATCAGGTGTAAATTCTAGCCTTGAAATGTGGCAGTGACTCATCTGTCATAATTGATAGTGCTTAAAGCTGTCAGCTTTAAACATGGCTATGACTTGTGTGTAGATGATGTCACGTTTTCAGTAGGGAATCCAACATGGGATGAATGGTAAAATGGCCAGGAAGGTATGACTGTTTTCTTTTATCTATAAGTGAAACAATTCACATGAAAAACTAATCAAGTATTGCTAGAATCTGACACACTGTTATATTGGGGGGGGGGGGGAAGCTAGCCCAGGAAACATAACAACGCTACACTCATCGGTAATACTTTTTTATCCTCTTTGTGAATGTAGATTATCCGAGGCCTTAGTTTTATATGATGCTCAAAACATATACTTTTCTGTCTCAAAAATTGAGAAAGAAAAGTAATTGCCTGTTCCATAGTTTAAATGAATGCTACTGTTTTATTTTGAACTGTTAGTTTAATACAAAAAAAGAACAAATAAACAACACAGGAAGTTATAAAGAAAGAAAAAACTACAAAAAGAAGTCTTTCAAAAAGAAACAAAAATGAGTGGTGTTATTCTGTAATTATGATTCTATAATTAACTTTGCTAGAGGGTTCATTGGACTCCATTAGATCAAAATAGACAAATAATGACCTTTCAGTCGAACTCATCCTCCAGTAATGAAACTCAGGAGGGACAGTTGGTTAAATCCCAAAACAGACACAACTCATCACTCCCTTGAGGTTAAATAGCTGGCATCCCAAAGTTTGCTGGATTATTTTTTTTTTTAATCTTCTGAGGAAGCAGCTCATTAGGAGAGAAAGAAACCATTTTAAATCTATTTTAGAGTTGTGGAATATAATCCTCCAAGATGCCAGAAGGATTTGAAGCCGCACAGATGTCTAGGTGTAGTAAGTACTTGAGTGAAACTATTATTTCATTTCATTTCAAATATGCTTAAAGACTTTGCCTGATTCCCTGAGAGTCAATCTCCATCCTAGATGAGCTTAGTCATTGTTCTTTTGTTTACCCTTGCTCTAAATCATTTCCTTTAAACCTAATACCCACAGGTATTTTTCTTTGCTGTTCTTTATTTTTAATAAACTAAATACTATTATAAAAATACATTTTAGTGCCAGTTGTGCCCTGAAGATTATAAGCTGATAACCCATCTCAAAAGGCCTAGGCCTCTTCAGACTGACTGCCAAAATGCTAATTTAAACGGTCCTTATATTTTTATTTATAGGGAAAAATCTTAACTAGATATTTTCCTTCCTTTTAGCTTTGTTCCCGAAACCCTGGTTAGGAGGAAAAAAATGAGAGTGCTGGCAAGCCATAATCCAAATAGTTCTGGTTAGATGATGGTCAGGCTTGGAAAAGAGTAAGAGCCTTACTACAAAATTAATTTGGAAACAAAGGTGACATTGAACCAAACAGGCCCAGCTGATACTGAGTATATAGTTCAGAGGTGTCTAACTCAATTTCATTGAGGGCCACATCAGGGTTGTGTTTGACTTGGGCGGCAGGGCTGGGGGCATGGCTACGGGGCATGGTCAGCTCAACATCACTTGGATCAGGGGTGCCTGCAGAGGCCTCTTGCAATCCTCTGCCAGGGAATACAGAGGGCCCATGTGGCCCTCCCGAGCTCCGTTTTTGCTGGCAGAGGTAACATGGGGTCCTTTGCTGTTTCCAGGGTGGCCTCATAGGCCAGATCTAAGCACCCAGCTGGCTAGAAGTGGCCTGCAGGCCTTGAGTTTGACACCCCGATATAGATTCTCTATGAGTACAGCTGAATGTATTGCAACCTGCGCATTAAAATGTAGAGGTAGGGCTCAGATGCGTGCCAGAATGAATCTTTTTTGATTTGTAGATCATCATTTCCTTTTATATCAGAGGATCATATCAGAAAGGGGTCTACAAATGTGCCTGTTTTTGAAAATATTATCTTGTAATGCACAATGAGCTAGTATAGGTGGCTGGGTAGCAGCGGATGGGCTCTAAATTAGCACTGAAGCAGCAGGAAGGCAGTCCAGTAGGTGCTGCGTGCTGCTGGAGCATCTGTTATTTCAATGGGACATAAAATCCAATCCATGATGAGCTGGCCTGGTTCCAAGTTGTATCATTTCTGTTAGTTCAAATTCTGCCTTGTATTTCTCAAAAGGGAAATATTGCTATTTTGACATTTCATGGGTAATGCATATAGATGCATCTTACAGACACAACTTTAAATTGCCACTGGGCAAATATTGATAATATTAAAGGACTGTTGCATCCCACACAGCATAATCAATACTGAATGCCAATGTGTGGCTGGGTATGAACCTGAAACTGCAAGATAAGAGTATATTTTATCTGCCTATATCCATAGAAAAACAAGGGATCCCTAATTTCTGTAGTTCCTTCCCCACCCTAGAAGACTGGAAGTGTTGCTTTCTTTGTGACTAACAAACTAGAGTATCTCACAATGTTAAAAGTACCATAAACCTTAAGGCAATGCTGTACATTTTCCATATTCTGTAATTTTAAAAAACCCAGAAGATGCTTTGCTGTTATTTACAGAACAAATCTGCATTGATAATTTTTGGATTGAAGATTGTGTCAAATAGAGCCAGAGATTCTCTTGGCTCATAATTACTACCAAAACACACATTTGGGTTTAAGATTTACTCTGAGACACAATAGAAGAGCATACGGGATTCCAGTTGGCCAGTTTCTTGGATCAGCCAAAATTACCATTGACATCAGCAAAATAATGTAATCTTTGCAAGAATTACTTGACCAGCCCTAGAGTTCAATCATTAGCACTGCTGAAAAATTCTTATCTTATTTCATTTATTCTCATTAAATTCAGCAAATTATGACACTCCCCCATTTTGTCCCTATTATAATCTGTGAAGGAGAGGTCTGTAGAGATTCTCAGTTATCCAGGACATGGCTGTCCCAAAGGTGCTTTTTTCAGGAGGCAACTGGATTTTCTTGTTTTTTCTTTTGAAAACATTTCACTTCTCAGCCAAGAAGCTTCTTCAGCTCTGTCAGGATGGTGAGGAATGGAGTCTTCAAAAGAAAAAAATACAAAAGTCCTATTGTCTTCTGAAAAAGCACCTTTGGGACTGTGGAGGAAAGGGAAAATTCAAGTGCTGATTTTTATAGTTACAATTTCTTTATCCACACCTCACATTCTTAGCTATGTTACATCATTGCTGGTTGATTCTGGCAAAAGACTTACGGTAACCTTTTTCTGCATGGTCCAAGTCAATTATACATACAGTAGAGGAGAGCTGCCACATTTATATATTTGATTGTATTGAGCGAGTTGTTCTACAAACATTAATGCCTACTCTTAATGATTTCATAGATGCAAAAAAAGGGAAATAATCTAAGCCCTGTTGCAGCTTTTTTAACTTGCTTGCTAATTTTGTTTTTTAAAAAAATCAATGTTTTGCTTTCTTCTTTAATTGCTTACCATCCAAATATAGTAGAGAAAATAGCTTTGTCACCCTGTGTTTTTCTTTCTTTTTTAATTTATTAATTTCAGATATAGATTGCCTGTGCAGTCTTTTTATATATAAAACTAAGGCTTTTTTGCACTAAACAGAAAGATGGTTCTTAATTCTGAAGCATTTTTTGTTTCAGATTTAATTCAGACAATTGAATTAGTATTTCTCCATAAAATATAATTTACAAAATATGTACACGTGATAGAGTGCAGCAAACCAAGTTTAGCTCGCATGACAGTTTCTTTTAGTTGAGTCCTAACTATGATTACCTGGAAGTAAGCAGCATTAATTTTGATTCTGGAGACAAATCATCATGTTTCTTTGTTGTAGTAAAAAAACAAGAAAAACAAGTAATCAGTCTTGGATGGGGTAATGTGGGAGGGAAGTAAGAGATAAACAACCATTTCCAAAGCCTTGTCAGCTCATTGTGAGGTGGTTCGCAAGGGTTCAGTTGATAGATCAATTTCAGTGCTTCTAGTATCTACTAATACTCAAAAACATGCCTCTCAGACTCTTTCTTGACTAGTTGTTGTCCTTCGAACATGAACACACCTTTAAAATTATTAAGACCAAATGACTTGATATTGAGCAACGGAATAAACTTAATTTAATTTCAGATCATATCATGGAACATTTAGAATATCATTGAACCAAATCGTTATTTAACTTATATCCGCTGCTCAGCCTCTTTTAGAGTCAGACATGAACTTTTATACCAGTTCTCTCTCAGTGGTAGATAGCCAAAATTCCTTTCTTCAAAAGAATTTGTCCCTGTGATTCAAATCTGATAGAAACCATCCAATATGTACTCTTCATACTATCAAAGCATCCCTCAATCTCTAAATTCTCCCTTGTTGGAACATATGGCAGGACAGGTTTTCTCTTATCAGACAACAAGCCTAACATCATATCTCATATAGTTAAAGTTTGTGCTGCAACTGCTAAAGCCTGTAAACAAATTACTGCAACTGAGGTCTGTGATAATGAAGAATAAAATTATGTTCAGAGTCAGTTATTTACATGCTACATCACTAAAATTGTACATACAGATTTATATTGTTTTTATTATGTGTATTGTTGTAAAGCAATTTTTGCTGTTCAACTCATCTGTTGTTCCAATCATTGATCAGATAAATTTGTATGATTGTTCTGCTACCTAAAAGAGGTGCTACC